TCCTCCTCCTTATTCTCCTCCTCCTCCTCCTCCTCCTCCTCCTCCTCACCACCACCGCCCCACCCCATTCCCCCTTACCCGCCCGACCTTTCTCTACTTCCTCTTGTTATTATCATTATCTTTATCGTTATTATATTAATTATTATTATTATTATTATTATTATTATTATTATTATTATTATTATTATTGTTATTATTATTATTGTTGTTGTTATTATTATCATTATTCTTCCCCTTCCTTTTGTTCTTTCTCTTCCTCCTCATCTTCCACTTCCTTCTTATTCTTATTCCTATTCTCATTCTTGTTATTGTCATTATTATCATTACTATTATTTTTCTTCATCGTCATCTCTCCCTCCGTCTGCCGCTCGGTCTCCTTTATTTTCCAATACGAATTGTGTCTCGGTCGCAAAACACGAAGGAGAGAGTTTTAGAAAAGGAGCGCGAGAACTTGAGACTATACCACCAATGCTTCCACGACGAGCTTACAAACGATCAACGGAAAAAGTTTTCCGTCTTAACAGGTCACTTAAAGCGCGCCGCTTACTTTCTCCGTCTCTTGAACTCCCAAAGACAAAACGAGCAATCATAAATAGTAAAAAACGATGCCAAAGATAGCGTCATTCTATTGTATTTATTCTACAAATGAAAGTTCTATCTTCCATTTCAACGAGCCAACAAAGATATTTTGAATACAACTGACGTAAGATGAGATCGCTTACATATATTCATAAAAACATTAAGCAACACGTATCCCCGATGAGCTATACTGGAATATAAAACTACCACTACAAAGAGTTTTACAAAGCATATATTCAAGCATTTAGAGACAGTGTTTTCACAGGTCTTACCTCGTATTATTACAAGTTACAAGTCATTGCACAGTAATATTAACAATTACATGTTAATTTTCACTATTCAACTTGCGTTAGAATCAATTGATTATCAAAGCAAATAAGCTTGGATATGAAAAATTGATGAATTAATAGGGCAATTAACCACATGTTGTTTCATTTCCATGACGTTCGATAGTGAAATGAAAAAGAAAAAAAAACAACGAAGAAAATGAGAAAAAGAGAAGAAATATCTATATACATTCACTCTTTCTCTCTTGAAATAGATTAGTTCTTGAAAAATGTCTTCATGATATTATTGCAAAATTGTCTAATATTGCATTGATATGATAAAAATAACGATTCGTGTAAAAAATACTTTTCCGAGCTAGTCATTCTATAAAATGAAATCTTAATAAAACGATATTAATAATTACATTAGAAAAAAGCAAACTTGACTGCACTTGTCTTATCGGTTCATCAACGATTTATAAATTCTCCATTAAAACATTTACGAATTCAATGAGCATCCTAATCGTAGCAATGGCCATTTCAAGGTTATAAATTCTTGAGCGCGGTTGTACATCCGCAAATTTAGATCTGTGAATATGCGTGCGCGCGCGCGCGTGTATGCCAGAGTAGGCGCTAGTGTGACTGCGCGCCCGCGTGTGCGTGTTCGTGTACGTATATGCATAACCTCGTTTCAACCTCGTGAAATGCCAGCTTTGCAATACCTCGAATTTGTTTGGAGGTCATGTTAGCGGCCGGTGCCACGCTATTACTTCTTACTATCGCTACTCCCTCTCTCTCTCTCTCTCACTCTCTCTCTCTCACTCTCACACACACACACACACACACACACATATCGCTCTGTCTCTCTCGCACCCCCCTCCCCCCCTTAACAACTATCTCATTCTTGCTCGACGCTAGTGAAAAGAAAAAAATACAGTATATATATAGACATACCTATATATATATATATATATATATATATATATATATAAAAGGGGGAAGAGGCAGAGGAGAGCGAATACGAACGCATGCAGTGTAGCTTTTCCTTTCTTTGCCGAACTCGACGCTCTCCTTTCTTGGCGAGGGTCGAATTAATAAAAATCCCACGGACAACCCCAGGCGGTCGTTGGCGCGGATGATCGCAGCACGCGGAGCGTGAAAAATGGCTGAAAATCTGATATTCCGGATTAAAAACATTGAAATTCAAAACCCGTCCCTGCCCGCGCCGAGAAAAGTCGTTAAGGGTCAGTTTCGTAGCTTCGACTCCCTATTTTTATCATCTCTCTGTCTCTCTCCCACTGTCTATCTATATTTCTCTCGTCGTCTCTGGCTCCCACTCCACCTCCCATACGACCTCGATGGCCCCCACGGAGTGTACGTGCAGACTGTCGTCGGCCACATTAATTCGGCTCCCCGCGTAATTTTACAACAAATTTCGGGCCGAGCGCCCGGAATTTCGGAACCCAACGTCTAACCGATGCCGACCAAAACACAAGCTAACCATCTCGACCCCCTCTGCTTTACCCATGTTTTTCAGAACCAAAGTGGCTCCAGTGCTCCCAGTGCTCGCGGCGCCTGCCCTCCGCCTGGGAGATGCTTCAGCACGCCCAAAGCGTACACGGGGCGCGACTGTACTCGGCCAACGCCACCTCGGCCAGCTCGTCGTCCAACACGCCGGCGCCAAGCCCGCCGACGCCGACGCCGACGCCTACGCATCAGCACCAGCACCACCTGAGCCCGCTCAACCAGCTGAACCTCAGCGGCAAGTCGAGCGGCTCCTCGGTGGCCAACTCCTCGGGCGGCACATCGAGCGGCAGCGGCGGCAGCACTGGCCGCCAGCAGCTCCAGTCGTCCGGGCCCCTCGTCGGCGACCCCCTCCACAGTTTCCTTCGGCTGCCCCAGCACCTCGAGCGTGGCTTCGCACCCATGTTCAGGCCGGAGTTTCTCGCCCTTAATCCCCTCGCGGGCTACCGCGGCCTCCAGGACCTGCAAACGGCCACGCGCAACCTCCAGAATCTGGGCGATCCGTTGCGCGCGATCGACGGTCTCAGCCTCGGCGACCCCCTCGTGCGCAGTTCCCTCGACAGCCTCAACAACGCGAGAAACCTCGCGAACCTCGCCGAACTATCGCACGGCCGCGGCCTCTCGGCCCAGGGCCACCCACCACAACTCGACGCCAACCTGGATTTTTACTCGGCGCGCCTAAGGAGCCTCGCTAACCCGTCCTTAGGCGCGGCTCCTCCCACGACAAACCCCCACGGCGCAGCACCCGTCGGCGGCCAGCCGACCCACGGCGTCGATACGCCGACCCCCGCGGCACCCGCGGGGGCCGGCCCTAATGGCAACACGGCCATCGTTAACCAGACCCAGAAGGAAAGCTCACCACCGTGCTTCGGCCAGAGCCCCCCGGGTCACCACAACAACAACAACTCCACGGACAGCGAGAAGACGGCACCGGCGATCGCGGGACCCGAGGGCGCCGAGACCGTCTACAGCTGCGAACTATGCGACAAGAAGTTCCGCTTCCAGTCTAATCTGGTCGTGCACCGGAAGAACCACCGGGAGCGGGATTCCGCTCCCGAGGTGGCGCGCTGCGAGCTCTGCGAGCTCGATCTCGGCAGCCTCGCCGAGCTGCGCAGGCATCTGCGCAAGGAGCATCAGCAGCAGGCCCACCATCTGCTCACGGGCGCCCAGAGTCCCCAGGGCAGCGTCGAGACGGTCCCCGACGACGACAGCAGCTGCGACGATACGATGGACCTCGACGAGGCCGAGGAGACCGACGAGGCCAAGAGGGATCGCGACGAGGCCGAGGAGAACACGCCGGAGGACCTGTCGACGAGCCAGCCGCAGCTGGGCGACGACGAGCCCGGGATGGGTGTCGGCGTCGGCGTCGGCGTCGGCGTCGGCGTCGGCGTTGGCGTCGGCGTCGGCGGACTCGGCACCGGTGGACTCGGCGGACTCGGTACCGGTGGACTCGGCGGACTCGGCGTCGGAAGGCTCGAGGCCAAGCCCTCCCTCGTCGGCGACCTCATGGAGAAGTTCGGCCTCGGCAATATCGCCCAGTACTCCGAGGCCTATCGGCAAGCTCTCCAAGAGAACCACCGGAGCGGCTTCATCAAGGCCGAGTCGACGGCGAGCCTCGCCAACTCTCTCAACAACAACAAGGAGAAGAATAGCGGACTGTCGCCCGGCGGCTTCGGCACGACCAACGCGGCCAACATGTTCTCGGGGCAGGGGTTCCCGAGAGCCGGCGGCCCGGACTTTGGCGGCCTCTGGCTACCGAGCCCCCACTACCTCGAGGGTAGCGAGTTCAGGAAGGCCAGCAAAGCCGCGAGCTCCGGCCTCGCCCTCCAAGGCCTACCGAGCCCCCTCCTTAAGAAGGAGCGCAGCGGACGTAACGACACCTGCGAGTACTGCGGCAAGGTCTTCAAGAACTGCTCGAACCTCACGGTCCACAGGCGCTCCCACACCGGCGAGAAACCCTACAAGTGCGAGCTCTGCTCCTACGCATGCGCCCAGAGCTCCAAGCTAACGAGGCACATGAAGACTCACGGGAGGCACGGCAAGGACACGTACAAGTGCCGCTTCTGCGAGATGCCGTTCTCGGTGCCGAGCACCCTCGAGAAGCACATGCGCAAGTGCGTCGTCGTCGTCCAGCAGGGCCCGAAGCTTGGACTACCCTACCCCGGCAGCCAGGACGAGGACTCATCCGTCAGCGGGAAGGACACTTGATCGTGGACCTCGGGGAGCCTGGCGGGCGTCCCGGCGCTCTGGCCCCACCGGCCGCCCTCTTACCCGGTCTATTGACGTAGCCGGGTGCCGAGGCTCGACCTGGGCCCGAGGCCGGGGCCCCGTCCCGGCTATACCTACAATCCGATTGCCAGTGCCAGAGTCAAGGGCCACTATCGCCCTTAGATAGACCCGTCCGGACGAACCCTCGCCCTCGGGACTCCTACCGCCGACTTATAACGTCAACTTATCCACCTCGCTATCAACATCCGCGCGTCT